TATGTAGACTTTTTCGCGTGTTTCCGCCCACATGATCGTATAAATTCACAGTGGCTCTGCACGGGATGTGTAAAAGTAAAGGGCCTTCTTTCCACGTCTTATACGCGAAAACCCGAGTGTAGGTACAACATACAGATACCTATGTACACCATATAATATCCTCTCCGCATGAGCTCTCGTGTGCCGCTTGTAATTTGATTGCCCTCGCTCTCTCTCTCTCTCTCGTCAAAAGCAACACGCATATATGCACGGATACCAGAGCGAGCCAGGAAATTTCAAAACTTCGCGTTCTCCTTTTTCTTTTCTCCATACATGGGGGTGTCGGATAAAAATGTATGTACTAATATTCCCACAAACTTACTTCTTTCTCCGTCATTTCGAAGATGATGTCGTTAAAAGCGAAATAATAAGTAAGTACTGGTCGCACGCGTAACTCTATACCGCATAAGTACGCATCAAAGTCAATTTTGATTACTCTCTCTTTGTGTGTACAAAAGAGAAGGCGAAGCGAGAAATAATTTTCGTTGCCCCGGTGGGTTACAAAACAACTGAAGAAGAACAGCTCCCCCGTCCCCCTTCGAGTGCTTTTCGATCACTCGTTCGAGTGTATATAAATATCCATGTGTATACCCGTCATGCCATCGAGTAATTTTAAATTCTTACAGTCACTCGTTCGCCCCAACAGTTATAAGATACTTCGTACATAATATTGTACGGTTAAAGCTCATTCCACATGCGAGAGGAGCGTTTCCTTCTTTTATTAGTTCGGCGTCAGTTGTTCTCGATTTTAAAGTACATATTTCATAAATTGCAATATTTACTCCTCGGTACTATCATGTAGGATCTCTCTCAAGGATATTTGTCAAGGATTTTCAATTTAGATTTTGTACAGAAGCAAACTTTTCTGGCGCACTTATGATGTCAACTCTCAACATGTCAAGCTGTACTCGAGTGCAAATCAATTGCTGCGCCTGTGTATTTTATTACTCCCATTCTGTCGAGAGTGTGGAGAGTCATCGATCGATTGTTCCAATTTGTTCGAACGATCTTGCGCGTTGACTTCTGTGAAATGTCGAAACAAGAGTGTACAGCAAATTGTGCAGAGCCGAGAAGTGCATACACGTAACTTTTCACGGTTCGAGGATTCAGGAATGTAAATTTTGCGAGTATGGCTCTTGAAAATTTCACTACCAAAGAGAGTCTCTCTTTTAAAAAATTCGTAACCAACCGAACCTGGTGTCCCTATGCGTTTTTTTTTTTTTTTTTTTTCTTTTGCAAAAGCATAAGTACATTACTTTGATACGTTACGTATCATCTCCCCAGAGGGGAGTGCGCCATTAACGATGAGCGAACATTACCCAAGAGCTTTAGCGCCTCGAGTTGAAACCTTCGGGGCCCCACCGACAGCTATACACGTACAAAGCCGGTCTACCGGCCGGCCGGCCGGTACACAATGAACTTACTGTACCGGATGTGGTGTAGCAGCCTGTGTCCTCGCTCGCTCGATTCCCATGTCATGCAGTCGTGTCACACGCAGGAGGATGCGCTGCACATGTACGTGCATAGATACATGGAGCACGTGCATCCAGGGCACTGCATAAGTGTGCGAAACAAGAGGGACGGAAATAATGACGCACTGCAGCTTCTATATACATACAAATACAGAGATGATATCAACTGGTCCTAGAAATTCACATGTGCTTTACCCATACCACAGATGCTATACGTACAGTAGTGACCTTTTTTTTCCTTCGTCATCCCTTTCTGTTTCCACACGTACACGGATGCAACTCTGGTGTAATTCTGGAGCGGAAAGACGAGCTACCCCGAGAGACAGATTTTCGCAGCGTTAATGGGCGAGCGACTGTCGATATCCTGTATTCGTCGTTTCACTTCCATTCGCCTACTCCTCTTATTCCCCGGCTATTCTCGAATCCGTGTCAATGTGTTTCTATTCCCTCTTTCCACGCTCGTTTCGCGAATTATTCCTCTTTCGAATGCCGAGATCTCGGGATGCGATGATGGCGAGAATGCGGGCCTCCCTGTTGTATTTTTAATCCAATGCACCGTATACGAGTCTCCGAAGAAGTAGCACGCAAGTTACAAGGGTGTATGAATTATAATATAGTTGTTAATTGATGTCTCGTTTGAGAAAAAGAACGAAAGTAAATAGGTATGAGCGACAATGTGTGTCGAGCCATTGTAGGTACTGTGTATAAAGTGAAAAGACACCGGCCGGCGTTCAAGTGCCTGTGATAATTAGTAGGCCAGGATTATGCTGGTTAATGAAAGCTGGGGAGTGAATAGGGAGAAATCCTCTTTTAACATATTGGATTTTATGTTTACAAGTATGTGCTCTCGACTCGAGCGGTTTGACGTGCACGATGAGTCAATGAAGCGCGTCTCGAGTGCCTTTAACGGCATTAAATTATCGGATTATCGGTACGCCTCAATTATGATATACACATAATAATAATATATACTTTTAACGCGGGCTCAGAATTTTTTTTCTCCTTTTTTTCAATTAAACAGAGCGCAAAGAACTTTTCGTGTTGGCGATACACATTTTTTTTTATAAAGTTTGAGAAGTTCAACCGAGTTATTTTCTTCGAAACTCTGACTTTTCTCTGTTTGCCACTTGACCCTGTTTACTCACTGCCAAATCGGTGGCGTTTTTCGAGCAAATACCTACTACCCGTGGATTGGAGCAAACACACGGACGATTCGAAAAAAAAACTTTGCTCTACTCCAAACGAGCGTTCTACTTCGCATTGCGTGTGTATATTCCAATAACGTGAGAGTACTTTTTTTTCAAGCAGATGATTTTTGGCAGATAGTGTACAAAAGTTTTGCTCCAGAGAAAAAGTACTTACTTAAATTTTCTGGCTTATTTAAGTCTCGTTTACTAAGTTTTAAACTTAAAGGAAATTAATATTACTTATTATAAAAAATAAAATCTCACAATCATGTGATACCACAATAAAATCAAAGGTTTTATTACTTACTTGTTATGTTCGATGCCGTCAAATACCTATACTTTCCACATTCACGAAGCGCCGATTTGACGTGATACATTTATTTAAGACCAGTTCATGTACTGAGTTGCTATTTACTGCAACCATCCACAAACTTCATCTACGGAGCCCAAAATCCTCTGTCATTATTAAACTCACTTTTCACGAAAGCTTCACTAAATTTTCAGAATAACTTTGGTGCTTTTGGATCCTACAATAAAAATAAATTAGTAAAAAAAATAAATAGTATTTGTAGCATTTTTAGAAATAAAATAATTACTCACATTAAGGGTTAGTAATTAACAAGACTTTATGTATAAAGGTGATAAGCACTTTTTTAACAATTTTTTTTTCTTTGTACACATCAAGACTCGCTGTGTAGCACTAGGGATTTCTTTGTTCATGCCTAGTTTTAGCGAGTGATTACTCCACTTATTAAGTATATGTTTAACGTTTATTTAATTAAACACTGTCACGTTGGAAGTCTTTCTCATATGCTCTATTTCTATACCTTTGTAGAAGTGAAAAATAAGAAACCATTATAATGTCTATCTTCAGCAACTTTTTTTATTGCCTTGTCTTGGTAAAAAAGAACATACTTTTAGGGTAGTCGTATACTTATAAAAGACTGCAATTTAAACAGAAACATGGTTGATAAATAATTTTCAATACAAAAAAGGTATTGGGATGGTGAATTAAAATTTAAAAAGGGGTATATTACCGTGTATGGCTTTATATACATCTTTCTGGACTCGTTTTGACTTTTGTAAAGCTGCTTGTATGATATGGGCTCTAAAGTCTGTGGTCATTTCACACTTAGTCCATAAGTTCAGGATGAGGATTCAACTTAGAGTTCAACATCTTAGTGTAACTTTTGAGTGCCTCCTACAAAAAAAAATATTTTTCAGATAAACCTTTTTTTTATGTTCATGGTACAAGTCTCAAGAAAAAAAATTGAGTATTATGAATGTGGGAAATAAAATAACGAATTTAAATGAAGCCAAGCAGTAAAATAGTAAAAAACAGACCTTGTTAGGAAATGCAAAGGCAAAAATAGAAAAAATACTCTTAGCTTAACCCTTGCTGATGGGAGTATATATATATATATATATATATCGATTAAAATTCAACGCAGATTGTAAAACACGAACAAAAACACAATACGATAAACATTAAAGAAGAGAGTATTTATTTACCAACGAGCCACTATTAGAGCTAAAAATTGTTTCGTATTTACTTATGTAGGCATTCTGATGAAGGACGAGGCTGTGCATTCACTGGTGCACAAATATTACTTACTTGATAAAAGCGCCATGAATAAATGACCACTAACAGTTGTCGGTGCTTAGGTTAGAAACGTCTGATGACGAGTCGTCGTACCATTGTAGATATATACCGCAAGTTTGTGAAGAAATAATTTACTCTTATACAACTGCTTTTATTTTAACACAGCGGCTTACCTTTATTTTTATGCAGGATAAAAGGAAAATTTGGGAAAATTTCAATAAAATCATGAATCAATTATAACAAGGCAAAAAGACTAGTTCTGAATACAATGAAAATGTTAACATGTTGACAAAAAACAATTATTTTAGAATGCACTCGTACGATACCAAACAGACTCGGCAATAGAACTTACTTATGAACCTGATTTCGTGTGCTATGTAGTTTACCCTTTTAGACTAAATTAGAAAAAATTAAAATATATGGTAATCGGTAATCATTTTGTGCATGGAAGTGTAAAATTTTAAACTCTATCGCGTTCGTTCGGGGACCCTTCATGAAAACTATAGACACTCCCATCTATAGGACATTAAATGCAGTGGCAGACATACAACTTAAACATTAAATTTCATTATAATGTAAATATAAACTAAATAAAAAGATTTACGGGATTTTTTAACCAATATATAATTACATTGTCATACAAGTTAATAAAGAATAATTCGTATCAAAATTTTTACATTTACCAGAATTGCATGCATTTTAATGACTGAATGGTAAAGCCCAGTCAACTTCCAAGATCAAGTGATCATATCGATGTTTGTGCAAACCTTTAATAGCATGGGCGGCCTCTTCGTTTGTTCTGTAATGCACAAATGCATAACCTTTGCAAATGTTTGTATTATTGTACTTTGACAGATATGTCTTTAGTATCGGACCAAATGGTTCGACTAAATCAAGTAGATCCCCGTCTGTTGTGTTTTCAGGCAAGTTCCATATTTTGATCCTCGTTGAAGGAACTTCCTGTTGCTTCAAATCATCGCTATTGTTGCCAATGTTGCGCATATTTGGAGGAACGTATTTTAAGACTTGAGATTTTCCAGTTTCTTCGTTAAGTACCATTGGTTTCTTGTCATCTGGAAGTTTGTCATCTGAAATTTAACAAGAAATGACAAGGTTCATTGACATGTTCCATAATGCATTAGGTTAAAGGTATTTTTAGAATAACTTACTGTCCATACTGATTGTATCTCTGTAGGGACACTTGGAGGTCCAGTGAGCTTGTGTACAATGACGGCATCTAATAACGCCCGTATCTCCCATGCTTCTGAGTTTTTCTAGCACATCCTCTTCATACATGTTGTTTTCTTCCTTGCTGGATAAAAATCGCATAAATGTAGCTTCGGAAATGAGTGTGGTTGCTGGATTTGGTCCAGGACCATCGTTTTCAGAGTCTCCAAACTTGGCCCAGGTTTTCCTGGCTGCAATAGTTTTGGAAACTGTATGATTTTCAATTCGGTAGGTACGAATCACCTTAACTCTCTCGCCCTCTTCATTCACCTTATACTCAGTTACAATTTTTAAATCATTTTCATAAACAACAGTGAGAGGGGGACAACCAATGTTTCCCTCTTCTTCAATCTCATCTGCCCAACTTGATATACCACGATTGCTTGTCATCTTCTGTAACATAAATAAGTTTTTTTTTAATACCTAGTCCCTGGCATACCAAGTACTGTTGGTACAAAAAACCATTTTCGCTGTTTACTTGTCATATTGTAACACTGTGTGCGAGCACTATTTTGCAGGTTAAGTTTGCAAAGAGCGAAAACTTGTACCGGTAAAAACCAAAAATTTTACAAAAGTTTATAATAAACCAAGACGAATATGTTTTGAAAAAAAAAAAAACAAGAAACGTGAACTACGTAATAAAATACGGTAAAACGTATTATGTTTCACGAGTATTCGTAGTAGTGCAGTTACAGTATGTTTTTTGATTACGAGCAATCTGTTGAATGCATAACAGTAAAGTTAATGAAATAAACAAACTATGATTCATTAAACTACTTACATTTCCTTTATTGACGTTGTTCACTTTTATTTCTCGTATGCAACGGAAACGGCAACGAAGAAGCTCCTGGCAAACTGGCAATGCGCACAGTAGTGGTGCAAGGGTGTATAACGGGTAAAAGGCCTGGCCATGTTTAATCCTCTGCACTTCATACAGCACTGGCTATCGCAAGATAAAACAGATACCTACCAAAATGGCCTCTGTTCTTACATAATTTGTTGATTTTCTCGACAGTTACCAAAAAATAAATACGTTATAATGATTTTTTTTTTGTAAAATAGATACTGCAGTGTAAATTAACTTAGTAATTTTTATTGTTAATAAATTACAAGATGCATATTAATAGCTTCGAAAAATTATACATTTATGCGCTTGATATGCCTAAAGAGATGCCAAAAAGAGCACTTTTCTGACAGACCGATCGTAAATACACAAATACGTTGAATGTGAGAAAAAAGTTGATAATGTACCATTAATATAAAAATACAGAGTATACTTACCATTATACAAAATTAGTTAAAATAGTGAAACATATTTATTTAAATTTTTTTAAATGACTTAGTTATTGATGAAAATAGTGAAATATATGTATTGATATTTATTTAAATTATTACCAAGCGTACATATATACATAAGTGACGAGTTTACCTCTTAAAACTCAGACTGGGCTAAAATACAAGTACATACATTACATCTCTGTACGCAGCTATATACTTATTGGTATACTTAATAAGTGCATTTTGAATTTTAAGGGACGCGCTTCGCTATTACCACAAAAATTTACGTGCGATTGTAGAAAGAGCCTAAGCTATTTTAACCGTATACTTTATATGAAAACTCGTTACTTGTTGCTAACTTGATAGGCTTTCAATAATTTTTATGTCATATCTAGGTGATAAATATGTGGGTTGGTCGTTAGTTTTCGAACCACTTGAAAAAATATGAAAATCGAGAGCAAAATCATTAATGAATCCTTCCAAGCCCACACAATGTGTACCTATATTTGAATATTATGTCGCAAAAAGGGAATGGAAAATCGTGTGGTAATGGATGCTATGACCGTTAATCTGATCGTTATATTTTTTGACGCAAAAAGTCTCTGGTACCTTTTTTTTTTGTAGACTGCACCGGCAGATGTGGCACTAACTTGTGAGCAAATTTTTTTTCCATACTAGTACTTTTTGTATTTTGTTTTGCTTGGAATGAAACTTAGTACTCAGTTAAGGCTCAATATTTCAAAATTAAACACACACACACACTTGTGTCAATGAATGAAACTATGGTAACATTGTAACATGTACCATTTTCGGACCGCTTCATATCTCCCTAAGTTAATCAAATCATTATAAATGTGTACACTTGTAATAAAACCGATGTGGAGCGATTTTTTTTTTTAACAAACTGCAAGAAGCTACGTAACACATTGTTGTAAAAAAAAAACAAGCGAACCGTCGTGAGTCTCGCCAATCGCTTGCGCTATCCTTACATTCCCGATCGATACGACGAAATACATGTACAGCTGCTCACGTATATGGCAACTACCCCGATATTTTTTTTTTTTTTTTCAAACTTTCAGCCAAAAGTTCTCCTCGCTCTCGTTCACAGCCAACCGTAAAAACAGCTCTTTTCTGGCGTAAAAAATAAATAAATAAATAAATAAAAAAAAATCCTCCCTCAGTCGTGTTTGTACGCACTAAAACGCTCTCTCTTTCTCTCGAAAAGCCCCATATATCCAGAGATTATACTTTTAATAAAATCACGAATCCCTTTCGCTCTGCGTACAAAACTCAACCCCTTCCCCTTTGGATACATATATATTATACTTGTACACGCGGAAGCTCTTTGTAAGTAGGTACATGCGTTGGATATTTTCTCCCGCAGCGCAAAAGTCGACGACGGCGAGCTTTGCCAAAACATCCCACATTTCCCCAAATGAAAAAAGGAGCAAAAGGAAGGAAGGGAGCGCAAAAGAGAAGACGAGATAAACTCGAAAGAAAAGGGTCTCGGTTACTTTCTTTTTTTTTTTTTTCCCTATATACCGATGGCGACGATGTACAATTTCTCCCGTCTTTATAGGCGCAACCGGAGGAAGGAAGCGTATATATAATATAAAGTTTGGATGGGCGGGGTGCAGACGAAGACGACACAACATGTGCGCTCGTCGCGGCGACACCGAAGAGTCTCGTGTATATATACCTAGTGCGAGGCAACCGAACTCGGATACGAACGCACGTAACATCCGGGGAGGGGAGTGGGCGTATTTGTTTTTACTTGCTTTTACAGGACTGCTATACTTAGGGGATGTTGGGCGTGACGATTTAAATGTGTAAAAAATATTCATCCTTCGCAGCTTGCAAGAGCAAAGAAGGTCAAGTGCGATCAGCAGCTTGTTAAGTATATCTTAAAAACATATAGGTATGTAAATAAAGTTGTTGGAGGGCACTCGACCGGTACAAAGGTATTTGAATATTCGAGGAATAATTTGCGCAGTTTCGAGAAAAATATGGAATGAAGCGCGGTTTCGTCTGTGCCTGCTTTCGAGACGCTGTTTGCAGTGTAATCAATAAGACAAGCTGAGTCAGCTACATTTTTTTTTTTCATTCGCCGATTTTCCAAAGGATCAATTTAAACGAGATTCTTTTTCAGCTTCGAAAAGTTATCTTTGAAAAAAAAAAAAAAGAATCTACTTTTTCCCCGATACCGATCTCGAATAAAACGGCGACGAGGTCCAAGTTTTTCGGCTCATCCACGTCTCTCGACTAGAGGATTACCGCTTGGGGCACGATTAGCATCACAAAGAATTTAACGACCATGATATATAAATGGAAAAAAAAGATGTATTTTTGCTGCGCTGTTTTAGAGTCAAAGAACCGGTTCGCTGCAGTTGGGCCTAACACCTCATAGTTGTTTCTTCTTCTGTTTGGTCAATGACTACATATACATATGAATAACACGGTTTAACATTCGACTTGCAAAATAAAATCATCCCTTGAGCAGTACTATTTTTTTTCGTACAAGTGCACTTATGGTGACCGAAAAATCGGCAAGGGAAGCTACCACACGTGCGTATATACCTAATGAGGCGTTAGTAGCGTCATGCATGATACATATAAAATAACGTACGATACCTGAGTATAATAATACAGGTAGCTCACGTGCATTGAATTACGCGCAAACACCGGGAGGAGAAAGAAAGAAAAAAAAAAAAAAAAAAGCCAGAAGGAAGGGAGCGTATCGAAATTCCTCCTCTGGCAGGATAAAATCGGACAATCGAGGGCCACGAGGTGATATCGCATAACCCAACCACGCACGTTATCGTGTACGCGTATACTTCATCACGCAAGGTACCCTACAAATTACCGAAAAGTTTCAGCTCGTTAAACTCGATTTCGCGGTTTTGCTCGGCTTTTTATTGCGTTGCGCTCCAAAGTTATGAACGAGCGGAGGCCGATAACGCGGGGGCTTGTTTCACATCCGTGACCCACTTATCGGGTTATAGTTGAAGGGGGTGAAAAAATTCCAAGGGATCCAACCACATTGCATTTTCACCCGTAAAAAAATGTAACTACGATCGTGTCATTGTAAATCCATGTATGTGCTTGTCTTTCTTTTTTCGATGCGTGTAAAAACCAAATATAGTACGTAAAAAGAGAGAAGCAACAATGGGAGAGCGGAAGCGAATATAACGAAGATTAATTAGCCCCGGCTGCAATTGTAGCAGCTGTGCCCCGGTTCTTCATTTTCCCCAAAGATTTGGCTATACATACTCTCTTAAACCCGATGTCAAATTTTTTTCCTTCCACCCTTTCACCGTTTCGGTTGAAATCAAACCGGAGCAGCTTTAGCTTCGAACCCATTGTGATCTCACTAATCGTACACAATCGTTTTATACACAATAAGTCCCCTATACCTCCCTTCCGTCGAATACGTGAAATTAGCACCCTTATATTATATTATATCTAAATGAGGCGCTGTTATTTATAGAGGGCAATTAGTTGATGGGATGGATGCAATTAGCGCAGTGAAACGAGTATCAATGAAAAAGCAATAACACGCGCGGGCATGTGATACACAAATCTTCAATTACGGTGAGTGGAGGCGCGTATATAGGTTGTAACCCCACTACACCATACACATATATAAATACACGGAGGGAGCAATAAACTAATAGAGCTGTTTTTCATTATACGGAACGTATTATTTTTCTTGCCCAACGATGGTAACATATGTAGCCAAGCTCCACGGGCACTCTCAGCCGATGCTGGCTTTTTAGGAAAGTTGCCCAAGAGATGCTTATCAGAAAACAGCTGAACTCTCTCTCTCTCTCCTCTCATAATACACCCCACGAGAGAGAGAGAGAGTGGAAGCCTATATATACATCCGAGTCTTATTACCCGCGCCACAGCGAGAGCATCTCAATAATGCATAAATCTGCGCCCCCGTCGTAATACCCTATCTACCCCACTCGTGTAGCTCCTTTCCCCCCTCCCCTTAGCTCTTCCTTTTAGCTAAAAATGAAAAACGAAATGGCAGAAAAATGACAAACCCCCCCAATAAACACGACGGCTCTTTCCTGAGTCTTAAATAAGTAAAAAAAAAAGGGGGGGATTTCTTAAAAGTAAAATGGCACCAAAAGGTGAAAAAAAAAAAGGTAGAGCCTCCTTGGAAGCCTCCCCGTGCATAATTAACCACCCAGCCCGTTCTCACCGGCCTCGTTCTCTATGTATGCTTATACCCGTGTATCTTTGCAGGTTTTCGTGAAGAAAGGAGGGAGACCATTCAACCCCGTGGACTACACGGCCGACCCGATTCCAGAGATGCGGTCCGACCGGCCACACTGTCGAGCGACCGCGGCAGCAGACCGGAATATGAGCGGAACATGAAAAGGGTCAAAAGCAACGCTCGGCTTTGGCACATCTGTGTATACGTACGTAGGTACGTCGTTGTCAGGGGCCGAATGGAGGAGGCAGCCGCAGAGCCCCCCCGGGCCCGGTGCTCCTCGTTATCGATACCATTCCGGCGTTCCTCGACGCTGCCGATACGCTACACCTACTAGGTGTACTCTCTCCTCGTTCGATCGTCTTCGTGGTCTCTGGCAATGCCGAACATCTAGACGTATAGGTATAACTGCACGTACCATGTATATATACATATGTACACACCTTGCATTTGGTCATTTACCCACTCGTATACATATATGTATACGAATCGAGAGACTACAAAGGGGCCATTGACGTTATGTATGTACCTTATAGTAGCCGTCCCGAACGGCTTTTATCGAGGAAAGTAAGAGCACTATGCGCGTCGTCCTGTTTGTGTGTGGTATAGGTATCTATACGGGAGATAGCGCGAGCGCGGCCGTTCACCGGATGCCTGTTATATATATATATACACTTGCTCGTGCGAGAGGCGCTTACGCCCTATACTCCTCCTTAGTTGAGATGCTACGACACCGACATAACTTACTTGTGCTCTTTTTTTTTTTTTTTTTTTTTTTTTTTTCTACTCCGAGAGACACAGACCAGCTGATTGTATGCGGCGAGGCAAGGACTCTGATTTTTTTTCCGCTTCGCGTACGATCGGCAGTAAAAATAGTACTATATAGTAGGTGGTCGGTAGTTTACGAGGAGATCGGTATACACCAAACGGAAAAATAAACTGCGTGTGTTTTCGAAAGAGTCGCCTAATAGCGTTGGCCTCAAAAAATGTATGTGTAATACGGTGCCCCTCCTGCTTTCGTATACGTATTTTAGTGTACTTACAGTAGCGGGGAATGGATGCTCATATATTGCAGTATATGCGTGGATCGTTAAAATTCAATCGTTCGTTTATGATGACGCGACGATGAGTGTTTTGATTTTCCCTCGGACCCATGAAAAGTTAAAGGTTTCATACTGTATCTGACAAATGAAAAAAAAAGTTTGGACAATTGTTAATTAAAGTTATTAGTAGTTTACTTGTTGATCTGTTTTTAAATAAATTTTTAAATAAAATACAATAGTTCTGCAGTATAACGATAAACAAAAAATTTAAGAAGTATTGTGTTTTGTTTCAAATTTGCTTTAACGGATCTACAAAAGAATTATCATATTTTATAGCGAATATAATGAGCAATTGTATCGGTTCGTCAAAATATCCGTGTCCAAGTAAATTTTTTTTTAGTACAGACACGTCTGCCGGACTAAATCCTCGATATCTGCGAGGATGGCACTCGAGGCCTCGAAGTAACGATCGGTCAATACGGCGCACCCTCTGTTTGGATAATTCAGCGAAAATCAAACTCCCACGCAAGCAACATTAATATCTTTTACTTTTATCACCCGTTCGCCGATTCGCGTTTTTTTTTTTTTTTTTTTTTTTCTCCAAAACAATTTGCGAACCAACGACAACCAGTGAAAGTATTCAAATCCGATGAAAACTGCGTTCAAAACGCGTTGAAAGAAAAAAAAAAAAAAAATCCTCAAACAATGCAGCTGTGCTATACATCTACTCTGATAATTATATACTACCTACCTACGGCGGGAGAAAATGAAAAGTTTGCAAAGCTCCTTCTTGCGTTGCAAAAGCGCGTTTGGGCGTCGTAGTTTGCATCATGGCGTTACTCGATGATGTGGGGTTAATCGTGCGAACTATGTATTTACTTACCGAGTCGATATACCTACACGTCGTGCACCACTGCGCCGGTACTTTTTTTCCTTCTTTCTTTGCTTCACATAGATTGTAAGATACTTTTATGGGAATTTCATATAGGATTCGAAACGCCCGAGGGTTAAAATGCACGTGAAAATTTAATTATCGTCTCCAAAAAAGGTTGTGAAATTGTTCTAACAATATTGACAATGCTATTTTTTATTATGTTTTTCAAGTAGTGAAAACGATGATTTTATAAAAAGGTTGTATGTATAAGCAATTAGGGATGTACGTGTAAGTATAAAAACGAATATCGATCTTTCACCCTTTTATGTAAGAGCTAGACAAATCGCATCGAGGACGCGTTGGATGTTCCGTAAAGCGCTAAATAGCGGTAAACAACAACAACAACAACAAAAGCCCATCCCCTGTTGGTAAACACTCAGCCAAACTCTGTTGTACCATCAATCATTTGTTTTGTAATCAACTCGTGACTTCCAAGTGGGCAAACAGCTTAGCGTAATGATACAACCTAAAAAAAAAAAAAAAAAAAAAAAAAATTCAAGACCAGAGGCCCGTGTGAAAAAAACACTCAGCAACAATACATTCAATTAAACACAATCCCCTTGTGCAACCCATTTGCAGTGTGTATAATTGTTTTTAAATTAAACTGCCACACCAATAATCCCCATTTTTCTTCATATCAGCGCGGAAAGATGGTCTCATAGGTATTTAATATATATGGGCACATATATTACATCGTAATCCCTTTGGCATATAAAATCAAACTCCCTCTATCTCCCCTTGGTCGTCATGGTATATACAGGTATATGTATAATAGAAAGCCCCACGGCTGTGCACAGTATGGAGTAACCATCATCGGGGGAATTTTCACGAAACTCGAAGCAAGAGAGACCTCCATAGGAGATAGAGCTAGGGAAATGCATGTACGCGCGAGTGATTTTCCATGAATGCACGGGGCAAACATAACATACATACAGCCGAGCTACGGGAGATCGAAGCTACTGATCGGCAAAACTATTGTTCCGCAGCCGAGCGATAGAAGAGGAGACAGACGCGCACCCACCCACACGAGCCTGTATAGATAATATACCTACAGACTGCGGAGCAAAAAGGGAGAGGAGCCCGCTGATGTTGCAGAGCTGCAGGGAGGGCCGATGGCGAGGGATTCGGCCGAGCAGAAGAACCAGCAGACGCAGAGGAGCGGAAGCAGTGGAGGAGAGGAAGGAGAAGGAAGCCGCGGGCTGGATCCAAAGACGACAGCTGAGAGCTACCGACGGAGGAGAAGGAGGCGGAGGAACCGGCACGCGGGCATTGTGAGTTCCTTTTGCGATATTTTTCTATGTACGCACTGTTTTTTTTATACTCGCTCTTGTGGAGCCGACGATTCACGGGAGAGATCGGTATGCGATCGTCTTGAGATCTTAGGGGAAAAATACGCGTTTAAAATTACCGTGGATAGATAAACTCGCAGATGAACGTCGTGCATCACAATTAACGACCGTATATTATATGTAGAGTGTGCGTGAAGGAATCCCCTAACGAATCCATGCGGTTTTTCGCTTTACCGATCTCGATCCCATCTCGGGAATGGAGTACAGAGTCGAGGTATTTACTCGGCCGACTGGAATCTTTTATTAATATATATCGATGGGTTTTCATCGGCTCTCAATCGAGGACGGTAGTGCCATTTTCGAGTATCATCGATCGATTTCCTTTTTCCTCATGAAAATATATAAATACTCGAGGAACCGGTACGACGATAAGTAGGTCAGTCGTTGTTATTTTTCAGCATCCACTGCCAGTAATGATTTTTCATGGCCTCTCTGCGTAATTTTATTGTCTCTCGCCACACCTATATACTGTTTATTTTCAAACGCAATTTTACTGATTCGCCTTTTTGCTTCCATTTTCAGTCGATTCGCCAAATATTTGGGCACAACCGCGAACGACCAGCCGAGAGCACAACTCGCACGAGCATCGAATTAAAACGAACGAAGAAAAACGAAGGAGGAACGGTGGGCGATTACACGCAACAATAATACAACAAAACAAACCAAAGGACCAAAGCAAAAAAAAAAAAAAAAAAAAAAAAAAAAAGCAAAAAAAAAAAAAAAAAAAAAAAGAAAAAAAAAGAAACCTAAAGAGCCTCACGAAAAACGATAAAATACAAATTAACGCTTACACGCATACGCGGTAATATCGACATAGTATTAGCAGTACATATAGGTATACATATAAATTTAAGCGAGAGTAGGCGGTATAGCGATAAATAATGGCGGCACCGGTGATCGAGAAGAAGCGGTTCTTCTGCCGGGAGTGGGCGTTCGCGAAATTGGCGCACTGCCTGGAGCAGAGGCCGGCGTCGAAGACGTGCGGGGCACTGGTGGTCGGCGGCCCGGGTAGCGGCAAAACGGCCCTTTGCGCCGAACTAGCGTGGCCATCGAGCGGCGCCTCAGCCAGGCACCAGCGCTCCCTCAACCGGCGCGTCCTCGCAAGGCACTTTTGCCAGGCCAGAAGCGAGGCTAGCCTCTCCCCCGCCCAGTTTGTAAGGAGCCTCGTCGCCCAGCTACTCCAGACCACCTCGGACCCCGTTTGCCGGCTACCCCCCACGGCCGACACCTCTTCGGTGAGTATTTCTTCTTTTTTTTCTTTGGAGAAACCAAAAGCGTATTTCCAAGGGCAATCGACCCCGGGGAATCTCGATGCACGCACAGTACAATGTACACTCGGCTGTCCCGCGCGCGCGAGCCATGACGTCACGCTCGAACAACGTAGTATTTTTTTTGTTCCTTTACGTTCGTGCGTTTGACGCTAATCCTAAGACCCGCTGCTGTAAGCCATAAATCTCGGTTTCACTGCCCATTGGCTCCAAAATACCTACCCCTAAAGAGATAAGGTATGCGCTTTGTCGCAGCTGCCGACCTCGCCGACGACGACGACAGTGGCGCCGAGCACCACGTCGCCGACGAGCGATCAGCAGAAGCAAGCCAACGGTGCGAACGGGCCGTCGTCGCGCGAGGCCGTGGCCGAGGCTTACGCCGAAAAGCTGCGCACCGACCCGGAGATACAGGCGGCCCTGCAGCCCGAGGTCCTGGACCGCAACCCCGACGAGGCTCTGCGCAAGGCCGTGCTCTTTCCCCTGCTGGAGATCGAGCCCCCCAAGGACTGCCTGATCCTCGTCGTCGACTCCATAGACGAGGGGCCCATCATCGGGCCCGGCACGTCCGCCGGACAGGTGCGTGGCTGTTTTTTTTTTCAAAAAATATTTCCATTCGAGCGTAGGAATATTTTATTGTACGAGCAGGTGCCGAGCGCGAGCGTGTTGGCCTTGAACACGAGCGGCTCGACGAAGCGCGACTCGGAGAACGAGGAGGAGGAGGAGGTGTCGAGAACGATAGCCGAGCTCCTGGCCAGCCACCACCACCTCTTTCCCCAGTGGCTGTTGCTGGTTTGTACGGCGCGCCGCCAGAGCAAGGCCATATCGCGCATGTTCACGGGCTTTCGGAAGATATCGCTCGACGATCTGCGCAAGTCCCAGGTGGTGCGGGACGTGCAGCAGTACATCCTGGCGAGGCTCGACCAGGAGGACGCCTTGCGCCAGCACATATCCCGGGACACGGCCGAGATGCTCAACCACCTGCACATCAAGAGCAACGGGTGCTTCCTCTACCTCGAGAAGGTCCTCGACGGTGTGGCCGAGAATTTCATCGTCTTGCGGGAAGTTAGGGAGATCCCGGGTACCTTGAACGGGCTTTACCTGTGGCTTTGCCAGCGTTTGTTTAGTCGCAAACAGTTCGCCAAGGTCCAGCCGTTGTTGAACGTCATACTCGCGGCCAAGCTGCCCATCACCCAGGCTGTGCTCTACGAGTGCGTGAAAACGGCCCAGCCGAGCATGACCCAGGAGGACTTTAACCGGCAGTTGCACCTCCTCAGGCGCGTCATCTCGGTCTCGCGAGCTGGCGCGCTCATGCTGTTTCACCACAGTTTCGCCGAGTGGCTGCTCGACGTCAAACACTGCACCCAAAAGTACCTTTGCTCGGCGACAGAGGGCCACGCCATGCTGGCCGTGCACTACACCCTGCGAGCCCGCAACCTCGACCCCGACGAGATCTGCGTCCTCGCCCAGCACGTCCAGGGCGCCTTTGTCCACCAGCAGAAGCACCACCACCACAACAACCACGGTTATTACCACCAACACCACCAACACCACCACCACCATCACCACCACCATCACCACCGCCAGCAGCAGTTGTCGTCCGCGAACTCGATCTCGACGTCGCTGTCGGTGGCGCTGCAGTCGGACACGAACACGGCCGTGACTAGTGTGCCACCGGTGCCGGCGCTACCGGCGCCCGACAAGCCGCCCGACAAGCCGGCCATCGACACCTACACCCTGCAACTCCTATGGCTGATCAGTAGCGGGGCGCCCATCAAGCACTGCTACCTCGACAGCAGCGAGTGCATACTGTGGCCGAAGCAGGACGCCAAGCTGCTCAAGCTGCTCGTCGACGCGGGCGCCAGGCTGTCCGAGAAACTCGCCAACGAGGAGGACAGCCCCGACAACGCCCTCGTTTCTTCTAGTCAAGTATGACATATTTACACACATACATATTCAATACCCCACCTCCCCCACATCAGCAGACCATGTATGGTATTGCAGATATCGCGCAACTCGAGCCCGACCGACGAGTCGCCGGTCGAGCCTTTGGCCGAGCTACTCGGCGAGAACGGCGACATCAACCAGACCGACTCCTGCGGTCGCACTGTCCTGCACAACCTCGCGGCCGATGGTAACGCGTCCCTCCTGGAGTTGGCGCTCGACGCTTGTCCCCAGGCGAAATTGGAGGCGACCGACCGACACGGACAGACGGCTCTGAACCTCGCCGCGCGACACGGCTACTCGGACGTTGTGAAGGTCCTACTGGCCGGGGGGGCTTACGTCGACCACGCCGACTGCGACGGCTGGACGGCCCTGAGAGCCGCGGCATGGGGTGGCCACACCAAGGTATATTAACGATACTATGTGTATATATCGTCGATGTAGCTTCGATCCAACGTGAAACGAGCCGATGGTCGACAGGTGGTGGAACAGTTGCTCGAGTGCGGTGCCATGGTGGACTGCGCGGACTGGGATCAGCGCACGGCCTTGAGAGCAGCCGCCTGGGGTGGCCACGAGGAGATCGTCAAGGCCCTACTTCAGCACGAGGCCGACGTCAATAGGACCGACGACGAGGGCCGCACTGCCCTCATAGCCGCGGCGTACATGGGCCACAGCGAGATAGTCGAGCATCTGCTGGACTACGGGGCGGAGATCGATCACGCGGACAGCGACGGGCGCACGGCTTTGAGCGTCGCGGCTCTCTGCGTGCCCTCCAACCACGGCTACACCAAGGTTCGTATACACATTCACATGTTGTTCCCCTCCCCCAATCGTTGAGTTATAATCCAAATCGTTTGGATGTGGCAGGTGGTGAACTTGCTTCTCGAGCGAGGGGCCAGCGTCAACCACCAGGACAAGGATGGGATGACGCCCCTGTTGGTGGCCGCGTTCGAGGGCCACAAGGACGTGTGCGAGCTGCTGCTCGAGTACGGGGCGGACGTGGACCATTGCGACGCAACGGGCCGTACGCCACTGTGGGCCGCGGCGAGTATGGGCCACGGGGCGGTGGTCGCTCTGTTGCTCTTCTGGGGCTGCTACGTCGACAGTATCGACAACGAGGGCCGTACCGTGTTGAGCGTGGCAGCGGCCCAGGGCGGGGCGGACGTGGTGAAGCAGCTGCTCAACCGAGGTCTCGACGAGCTGCACAGGGACAACTCGGGCTGGACGCCGTTGCATTACGCGGCCTTCGAGGGCCACGCCGACGTGTGCGAGGCGCTCCTAGAGGCCGGGGCGAAGATCGACGAGACCGACAACGACGGCAAGGGCGCTCTCATGCTCGCGGCCCAGGAGGGACACACGAACCTCGTCGAGAGGCTCATCGTTCAACACAGGGCCCCGATAGATCAGCACGCCCACGATGGCAAAACCGCTCTCAGGTTGGTACCCTATTTTCATTACCAGCTTGGTTTGTATCAAAAAATTCCGTGGTAAAGAGAAACGCGGCGATTTTCCCTTCAGGCTGGCTGCTCTCGAGGGACACTACGACAGCGTGAAAGTCCTACTGTCCCACGGGGGGGACATCAACGCAAAGGACGCGGACGGCAGGAGCATACTCTACATCCTGGCTCTGGAGAACCGACTGGCGATGGCGAGGTTCTTACTCGAGCAGGACAGCCCCGATATCGAGAGCAGAGACTCCGAGGTATCCTCATCGTGTGATGTAACAAATAACATCATGAGCAAATAACAAACATCCATCGTTTATCTTACAGGGCAGGACAGCACTGCACGTGAGCGCCTGGCAGGGGCACGTGGACATGGTGGCGTTATTGTTGGCCGAGGGCTGCGCGAGCGTCAACGCCCGGGACAACGAGAACCGCACGCCTTTGCACTCGGCCGCTTGGCAGGGCCACGCGGCCATCGTTAGGCTGCTGCTGGAGCACGGGGCGACGCCCGACCACACCTGCAACCAAGGTGCCACGGCACTGGGTCAGTCAATACATGATTATATGTTGTCTCGTGTACACCTCGTGTGTGTACTATAACGAGTCCCTAGCTGCATGTTATATGTTTATTGTGCGACAGGCATTGCGGCGCAAGAGGGCCACGAGAGCTGCGTACGGGCACTTTTGAACCACGGCGCCGACCCGAATCACTCGGATCATTGCGGGCGGAACGCCATCAAGGTCGCGGCCAAGAGCGGACACGACACCGTCGTCCGGCTACTCGAGGAGCATGCTGCCAATCGACGCTGTTCACGACCAGGTACGCGTTGCACATTAAAGGCCTACAAATACAGCCATTGGGATCCGCTTGGGTGACACTTACAAACGAGTGTCGTTGGTACAGGTGGGAGCAGCAGCGCGACCTCGGTGACGTCCAACTCGACGACGGAGACAAAGCCCTCCTCGGCGGTATTGAACCCCATCTCGACTCAGTACAGCCCGGCCGAGTCGCCCGACTCCACCAAGAGGCGTAGCTGCGTCTCGTTGGGCAACAACTCGAGCAACAGCAAGTCGAGCAGCAATCTCACCGGCAGCACCAAGAGCGACCGTTGCAAGGCCAATCCCAACCCGCCGGCCGTCGGCCATCAGCAACAACACCAGCAGGGCTCGTCCAGCGGTAACGGCCGGGTCAGTGGTGTTGCCAAACTTACGCATATCCCGTGAAATTTCCATGTAGCTATTATATATAAATGGTAACCGAGTGTTTGTTTGTCTCGCAGACGGTGCTGTCGTTCACCCAGCAGCTGCAGCAGTGCTCGCGGGGCGTCAAGTCGCGTCCCCTGAGCAAGCTGCTGTCGCCGCTGAAGAGCGAGCCCCAGTCACCGATCTACGCGTCGCCGCCGCACTCGCCCTCGAGCGACAGCCTCGTACCCTACTCGCCGACCAACACGAGTCCACCGAGCGCCCAGACCGCTGCCAGTATCATCCAGAGCCAGTTGGGCGTTTCCCTGCTCACGGGCAACCAGAGCACCCAGTACAAGCCAGCGCTGGGTTACGACCGCACGGGCGCCCTCTACGACGCCATCTGCATCAAGAAGAACCAGCACGTGGTGAGTTTGATTGCCACCGGGAGAGGCAGATGATATTATATACATTATGTAGAGACGAAACAAAGAATAAAAAGGTTAATCCTCGTGTGGCAGCCAATCATGGAAAACAGCGCGGACGCCAAGCCGTTCGAGTTGACCAACGAGATGTTGGGACTGTCGGTGAGCAAGGACAGGAGAAACAACGGCCACGAGGAGAGGAAATTGCCGGACAAGCATTTCTCCAGGGACACCCACATGCGAATCATCTTGGGCAACAACGGTGTCGGGCGCAACGTCAAACACGCCGCGGACAACCACACCGGAAAGTTAGTTTCGTTGTCTTTGATATCCTTATACGTATCAGATCCTTTTGGCAATATGATTAATGGGACGTGCGTGTGTGTTTTGTAGTTCCGGCAACTCGAGGCCCAAAAGAAACGGCTTGGTTTCGTCGAATCCGGCGATGCGTTTGGTCGCCGGTGTCAGAAATGGAATAGAAAACGCGACGAATCGACACAAGCCGGTCACCACGCGGGTCAATGGTTTCCAATGGAAAGCAGAGGCCAGAAAGGAGACTCCGTTATAGGAGCAGGTATAATACATGGATACACATTTTTATACGTTATACTTGAACGTTTTTTTTTTTTTTTTTTTTTTTTTTTTTATCGCCGATATGTCGCAGACCGAGGCTCTGGAGCACGAAATTATNTTGGTTTTTTTTTTTCTAAACGAAACTTTTGCAGGATTTGACGTTTGCCAGGTGCACGCACGAGGTGGCGTCGAGTCACCAGCCGAGCAACTCCGATTGGCGAAGCTACCTGAGTAAAAAGCGCAAATCCATCAGGAGGTTTTTCTCGTTTCCGTTGAGCAGAATCAAATTACCGCCAAACTACCGCCAAAGCATCCGAAGCAGGAGACGCAGGAAGAAGGACGACATGTGATTGGGCTCGGCGGGCCACTGGGTACCGCCGACGTCAACTCGATATACCAAATTCTTTAACGAATCGTGTGAGAATTTAAATTAATAACAATTATTACAATATTAGGATGAAAAAAAAAAAAAAAAAACGTAGGAAAAAAAAATCGTATGGTTATCAATATTATTATCATTACTATAGATGTATGTAAACGAGCAGGTGGTGTGTAACCGTAAGTAAGACTTTAAGCAACAACGTATGTATAAATGTAACATTTAGAAAAGTCCTTTTATTGATCTCATCGAAGCTTATGAAAAAAAAAATAAAAAATAAAAAAGGATCGTTTGGATCGTATGTAATATGTGCGGCCTTAATCTCCACGCGCGTATTGGATAAAACAGTGAACACAAATTTGAGCGACGAAGAAAAAAAAATTTGGAGTGGACTGTTTGTAACGAATACAAAATAAAATACAAATTGAGTCTTACGTAGTTGTACGGAGCATGACAAATGAGTGAAAATAATTATAAAAGAGTGTCAAGTGTAAAGTAGATTGGATAAAGACTGAAGGCACACCGAATACAGTGCTAATAATTTTTTCGACGACTATATACTTTGATGAACAAAAAAAAAATGTAGATTTTAACAAAGGTTGAGAAAAATTAAAGAAAATACAAAGCATATACAGATATATATATATATATATTATATTGAAGTGAAGCGTAAAGGGTTGAAAAAAAAAGACAAACAAAATACTATTAGCATTGTCATTGTTATTTTTATTAATGTCGTAGAATTGAGATTGTAGTAGCGAGTTTTGGCGCATTACTTTTGATCATACCAAATGTTACAATGAATACGTAAAAGCATGGCCTCATTTTAATGAAAAGAAAAAAAAATTAAGCTAGAAAAAAAAAATCAATTAAAAAAGAAAAAAATGAGATTTGTGTATATAAGTACGACGATAAAAAATATGTCACGCATGTATGCATTATGTACTTTTTATATTATTTTATTATTGATATTATTGCGAACAAATATTTATTATTAGTTCTAGTGAAATTATTAGTGATGATCATAGCACTATAATCGATTTGCGTTTTGTTGTTATGAAACAGTAGACAGAACAATAAATTAAACTTTTAAAAAAATTGTCATAGTTGTTCCACTATTACGTTACCCTGAAAAAAAAACTCAAAATTCTTCACTTTTGTACATAAAAATATCAATCATAATGAAAAAAAAAAAAAAATCCTAATTCCACTGATTACGTTTATATACAACAAAATCATTATTTAGCCAAGAGAAAAACATCACTTTTACGATTTTTAACGATCTTGAACTTTTCTAATTTGTTTGTTTGTTTACTTCTGAAAAAAATCACGAACTCGAGCATCAAAACAATAACGGACAAAACACACCCTACAATCAAAATGGTAAATATCAAATACGTTTGCGTGACGTCGATCGACTGAAACGGCAACTCCTCGTTCTCGTCAACCTTCCAATCGAGCCACCGATCCTTCAGCCCATCCAACAACCCAGTTTCGTACATTCTCAGGATCCTGCGATAAAATTGTCCCTCAACTCTGCGCACGATTTATCATCCACTGCAAAAAAAAAAAAAAAAAAAAAATATCATATTACCCGTTGTCGAAGCTGCGCCTGTACCGAAACCTCCTCTTGATGGCCGACGCGATCCACGTCTCGAAGTAAGAGCTCTGGGTTGGCACGAGCCGACATATATTTCGGCCAATGGCTTTGTGGCGATCTATGGCCTCGAAAGCCGCGTATTTTCCCTTGGTCGAGAAGCACACTTTTCCGTAAACCTCCTCCGCGGACGAAGCGAAAGTCACCCGACCAAAGTCGCGCATACCTCTGTAATACTTGGTGGCCGTTTCCTGAAAATGGACATCCCATCGCAATGCACGATGAACATTGTAAAAAAAAAAAGTACTTCTCTCACTTCGAACTGTTGGTGGACCATGGAACCACTGAAGGCGACCACGCCGTACTTGCTGTTTTGTATCAAACTTTTCAAATCGGTAAACGGCAAGTTGGATTTTTTATTCATCATCAAGTAGATCGCGTGTGAGCTGAAGGCGATGATGATGAGCCACGAAAACATATTAGTGCACAAATATATCAACTTGGACTTGTCCTCCAGTTCGGACGAGGTAGCTCCTTGGGACATCGCTATGGCTATCGTGTGGAAAACGTGGTCCAACAAACTGTGGTGGGTGACTGTTGTTCCCTGCTTGTCGAGGGAGTTTTTTTCGTGGATGTACGCTCCGACGCTCATCAGGAGCAAAAGTAGGAAAAACGAGTACCAAACTTGCGCGGAGAACAAATGGAATATCCAACCGTCGTCGTGCTTCCACTCGGGCTTGATGTACAAGTGGTAGCTGATCGAACGATAAGTCGTTTAAACGTACATTATATATAAAAAAAAAGGTCCAAGCGACAATATTACGTTCATTCACCGGACTCTCCACAGCGGCATCGTGTATTGCAGCAGCGACAGCCGGTCGCTGAATATTCCGGACCTCGGGACTATCTGGGACTCGTTGCGGTGTATGAGACCCAGGATCCCGTCGTAGCTGCCGTTCGCCAGCCTGCCCCCGAAATTCCGGCTCTCCATTTTGATGGGGACCAACGTGAAGTTCAAATAATCGGCCAGGATGTTCCACAGTTCGCCGCAAACTCCGGTCATTTTCGTGTCGTTGTCGACGAAGCTCACGAGGTTCGGCTCCTTCGGAATAACAAAGACGTACAGGAATGACTTTTTGAACCCGATTCGCATAGGTACCTCGTAGTAGACGGCCTTTAGAACGGCTCCGTGGAAGTTGTGGTGTTCCAGCTCTTGGATTTTTTTCACGAAATTCTCGTTAGCTAAGGAAAACGTTGGTATGCTCAGTAGCGACACGAAATCGTTACTACCCTCGCGCCAAATGACCCCACTGGCCGCGGAAGAAATTTTCGCAATGCCCAGCACGAGTCCGATCGTGAGGAGCATTGCGTCGACGAACGCGAGGGCGGTAAATGACGGCCGTAGCGCGGGGACATCATCTGATTGTGTTTCGAATCAATGAACTAAACTACCGTTGCTCGTTTGTCATTGTAATCTGATTTTTCATTACTGTTGCCGTGTAATTTTCTTTGAAAAACTCCCATTGGGGCCATCTGTACTGTGGCTCATCACTGGCCGTCACCCCTCGCTATGGAGTAAGGTATCGTAATGTACTGCTGATTTTGCTTTTTTTATCGCGACACTTTATCGGACCTATTTGTTTCGATTGCATATGTACGCGTACGTCGGCCTTCACCTACATTATTTAGCTTAGCTTATTCAAGAGCAGTGGTGTGCCCAAGATACTGACATTACTTTTAATACAATAATCATTAATACTTGAATATCTGATGGCAAAAATGGGCAGAAAGTTGACAAAAGTCGCGTGGATCATGGGAAATTTATTGAGGGAGCCGTAATTTCTACAATTTATCGAGATTTAAATTTATTACATTTTATGGTATCTTGGATGATAATCTTGTTGCTTTTAGAATAGCTAGTAGTATACGATAATGTAAGTCGAAGGGTTCAGGAAATTAATAAAGGATAATTTAAGGATCCGCTTGATAAAAAGTATTATTTATATCACTTAAGAATAATCAACTAATCAAAAAATAAAATTAATTTTCCCCCACGGAAACAGAGATTTGTATCAATGCGCTTACTCGAAATCAACCATTTAAATGAAAAATTCTTAGACTTTATTGTATTCAAAGTGAACTAATGAAAATAATAATATTATTTTGGAATCAAAAGAAATTGATGTAAGCATTCTAATTAATTTTTAATAAATTCTAAGATTTTAAATTATAAAAGTGTGAATTACTAAATTAATTAATTATTTATGGTTTTTTCGTTCTAAAATATGCAAAAACTTAGTGAATCGATATTTGTATGTATCAATTAAACAGCGTCACAAGTGAATAATAATATTAATATTCAATGGGTGTAGTGATATCAGTTTATAATAATAAGAATGAAAGAAAAATACAGTAAGTATGTATGCAATTTTTTTATGAAATCGAATTTTAAACAGACTTTGGCTTTATGTCACGATAATTGGACTTTTGACGACACTGTGTATAATTTTGCGCCAAAAGGCTTGTTTTTCCCGTTGCATGAGAAAGCGAAAACTCTGCTCTCTTTATTAAGTAAATAGAGATTGAAATGAACAAATTTCATCCGACTTGAGCCAAAAAATTGTTACACGTAGGGCAATAGTATTTTTTTGTCAAACAATCATCGCAGCAGTAAACAAAAGGTGAGCAGGGCCAGCAACTGTAAAGATAAAAAATGTGTGCTCCGTTTTTTTGTAACAATATTTGCGTTATCATCAAGTACACATTTGGCCTACAACTTACAAAAGACAGCATAGGACAAAACAAAGATGTGTCCTGAATGTGGGGACTTTTTGAACTCTCGGGACGACGCTCGTCCTACAGGTTGGGCAATGGATTGTTACGGGTTCTTCCATGGTGGTTTACTATAGAAAAGAAAATCAGATTTAAAAAGTCTTTAAAAAATGGTAAATCTGCCACGTAAATTAATATAATTCAAACTAAATATTACATTTTACAGTTAAAAATAGTGATTCTCCTACAGTGATGTGATTTTCACTTCAACAACTTTAACTCGTGTGGAAATATTCTCATGTATTTGAATAATATAAGATATTATTTTTTAGGATTTTTTGTTTATCAGAGTGCAAATAAAAAAGTTGAAAAATTTTCATGAAAAAAAAATACGGGTGACCAGAAGTTGTTTAAACAAATATAGTAATACCTTATTTTGCAAATATAAAAAAATACAATGCATTATTAAAAAATGAAAAAAATTTCTTAAACATTTTTTACTGGAAGTATAGTCAGTTCATATTGCTTTTTAAAAGCCATTTTTTAGTGTAATTGAATAAAATAATCAACCTTTCATAGACCATGCAACATATGTTTTCAAATAATTTTTTTTTCCCTTTGAACCTGCAAACTCATGAATAATTTTTTAAATCCAGTGATCATGGGAAAAATGGTGTTAAGGATTATATAAAAAATTGTAAGTACAGAAATTTAAACTGCTGACAACTGCCAAAAAAGAAGGTACGTTGAGGTATATGGCTTGCACAAATCAGAAAAGTGTGAAAAATTACTTGAAGTGTGATTGTCAATTCAATTTTGATGAGCGCAAAGTCTTTAAAAAAATCCGTGATGGGGGCTGCTGTCGAGTTCACCGTTTACTGGCTGCATCGCTTTTTCTTTCTCTGTCTGCCATTTCGCGGCAAGGCCTTCTTCCGAATTTTCGCACTGTAAATTGAAATCAAATAATTCAGTAATCGGTTCTGTTGTAACTTTTGATATTTTTTGGACTGGATTGGATTTTAACATGCAAAAACACCACATGATCAGTAGAGTAAAATTGAGACGAAAAATTAGTCAGAGACTTCTTTAGATTCACATGTCATACGTAACTGAATTGGTTAAAAATGTAACAACTGATAAAAATATCTTACAAAACGTTATTATAAAGTTTTGAAAACAGCTTGTCCAACGCATTCAAACCTGCTTGTGCCATAAGCGTTGAAAGCAATTCGAAAATCAACAAAAAGCAAAACCAACCCTTAAGCTTCCGCTAGAAAGTACACATCGTTAAATCACACTGGTAACACCATAGAATTTGAATTAAGGTCTGCTGTTGCACAATAGACAACGGTAATTTGTACGACCGCGCGTCACATTTTCTAATTTCGCGTCAGCCTGTAAAGGGGACAAGACAGACGACTAGGGATGCAATAAAGGTCAACTACTCAGGTTAAATTTTTCTCACTCGTGCGTCAACTTCAGAGTGATCAGGGGTGGGCATTGTGTGACCTTTTTTTTTAGTTTACGGGCTCATGTCTTGCCGTAGGAACTGAATATAATATTACGTAATACCACCTTTGCCCAGAGAAGTGCCTCTAGACGAGGTCGGCGTTCGAAAATTGAGATTGGAAACTGTGGCTCTGTAGTCCATTCCATGTTTTAGTTTCTCTTCTCGCGGTTCAGTATATCTAGTGCTGTATGTCGGCTGCTCTTTGACACGTGAGTACACTGATACAATTTTTGGTTCTCGGTTCTCGAAGATTACAGAGATATGGGAAATATATGGTCGTAGGGACACTATATTTAACATAGAATTCTCTTACATACGTAAAGTAATAATGATATTAAGGCGTCTTATACTTTTTATTTTTATTAAAAAAAAAAAAAAAAAAAAGTTACAATTATTTCCAACTAAATGCGTTTCAAACTTTTTGTATGATATCACGACAGTCGTATCTATTTCTGATGCGATTATACGTACTAGCTCCTTGCGAAAAGAAGTATAACTTAGATTATTCAAAAATCTTGATTTACAATAACTTGATATAATACTTTATCTACCAATGATTTATATCGACTTTGGAAATCAGATTATCAACTTAATGAAAGTTTAAGTAAATAGAAATTAACTTGGTATCTTAATTGGAAACAAAAAATGTTGCAAATACTGTGTTTGTAGATGATACTACTACAAAGTTTTTTTGCTTCGTTCTAATGAAAAGTTGTTTTTTGGTAATACGATCATTACAATTAAGATTATAGTGGTTTACGCATTACCATAAAACAAGCCTCTAAAGTACAATACCCCTATTAGACCCACGAATCAATTAAAAGCTGTTAGCCTAGATTTTACATTATAAAAATATAAATAATAAAATCAATATTTATAGTTTTTTCGTCCATCAACGTTGGTATAAATTTAATTAAATTGTTTCGCATTGCAAGTAACCAACAGTTTTACAATTTCAATATAAATATGTAGTAATGACGTTTACTAATAACTGATGATAAAGGGAAAATACAGGAAGTATCTACAAGCATTTTTTTTATAAAATTATATTGTAAACAGAATTTTGCCTTGCGTCATGATAGTTTGACTTTTCATGACACTGTACATAATTTAAAGCCAAAAGGGCTTGTTTTGTCTATTACGTTGGGAAGCAAAAACCCTGCTGTCTTCCTTAAATAAAGGGTCAAGCAATTTCATGAGACAACACCTAAGAAAGTGTTGCATCTTGGGCAGTAATGTTTTTTCACTAAACATGTATCGCAGCAGTAAACACATGGTGCACAGGGCCAGCAACTGTAAAAAGATTTATGTCACCGTCAAATAAGCATAATTATAATAACAAGTAAAAACTCGGCGTGTATGTATACATTGATTTACTAAGTACTCACAGGAAAATACAGCATAGGATGAAAATAATGTGTGTCTGAGCTGTGGCTCCTGTCTTAACTCTCGTGACGACGCTCATCTGGCAGGTTGGGCAATTCATGGTTTCGGATTCGGTCATCTTGCCTTACTGAAAATAAAACAATAACAACGTTTCAAACAAAAATTCTGCAAGGTGACACAAACGCACTCTGCTCAAGTAACGTTTCTTTATTATCTTTATCTGCCTAGCTATAAATACTATTTCAAAAACAACCACATCATGTAGCTGGCTCTTGATAACTCGTTTAAAAGGAAGTTCTGATTTGATTGCTGATAGATAGATATAATAAAGATATACAAGTAAAATTAATGACTCAAAAGCAAAGGTACACAGTATTCTTATAATAGAACATAATTTACGTCATATTGTATACAGAGTGTTTAAAAATTTTTTTTGATTGTTAACAAAAATAAATAAATTAAAAAAAATAGCAACGACTTGCCATCTCAATTAATACAGCGAATGTTTGGAGATAAACAACAACATTCATACTCGTGTACAAATAACTTTATGAATGAATACTATAAAATACTATTATTTACTTATCGTGAGATTATTCTGACTTTGAGGGCCTTTTCGTGTATTAGTATAACAAATTAAATAAGTAATGTTTACTAACAAGTGGTCAAAGGTCATTTCAACGAATGTAATAATACTTTGTTGGTAATGTTCAAATGCGTATCGCATTCTTTAAAAAGTATATTTTTTTAATCAATTTATACTGAGCACTAGAAAATAATTTAGATTGTTGTTAAAAAAAGCCTTTTGTAGTAATCAAATAAAAATTAATTAGTCAAGAATCAATCTTCCATAGACTAGTCAACGCAAAGCTTGGAATGATTTTTTCACTACACTAAATGCAGACTCACGATTAATGTTTTTACTGAACATGAAAAAATAGTTTTAACAATTTTAGTGTTTCAGTTACATGTAAAAATAAGTGTAAAAATTTAAACTGAGAAAAATAGCTTATACCATATCGTAAGGACATGGAAAATGACTTGAGAAATTATCATGAGTTTGATTTTGACGAGCGCAAAGGCCTTACAAAATCTGTGGTGGGGGCCGACCGTGGCCATTTTACTAGCCACGTTTTTACTAGCCACGTCACGATTTCTTCCATTGTCTATCATTATGCAGTGAAGCTCTTCAGGATAATTTTTTTCAGAACCTTGCACTTAAAATTAAAATCAAACTATAAGCTGTTTAAACTTTGGCCTGTCATTTCTTATAAAACTGCAATTCTAAAATTTTTTTTACACTTTTTTCCATGATCAGTGAAGTATAATTATTCAATGCCTACCGTTTGCACGGTACAAGATGAAAAGAACAATTTCAAAGCCTTGTTACTTGGAATATTTTTCCTAATGTTACACCACGTTGAATATAGTATTGTTTTTATAACAACAGAACGTTAAAAGATTGGGTGCAATCAAGTTGTAAAAAATGTTTTAAAACATCTTAAAACTGAGACTAAAAAACACTTCTTAACTTTCTCAGTTTTAATCTGCATGTCAAGCGTAACTGAATTAGTTAACAGTCTAACAATTTGGAAAAATTTCTTTTTAAAACGGTATTGAGTTTTAATAACAACTTTTTAAAATGTATTTTGTGTACTAATATTAATAGCGAGTTTACGAAAAAGAAAACCAACCTTTAAGCTTGAGCGGGAGGGTACACGTTGATAAGAATTCAGGATTTGAACTATGGCTGAATGACTTACTGTTACGAAGTAGAAGTTGGTCTTATCAACTACAGTGGTAAGTACCTCACGTCATGTGTATGTATATATATATATTGATTTTGTGTCAGTCAGTAGTGGGGACATGACAAGTCAGTCGACGTTTGGGCGCGCGATGAAAAAACAAGTGAATCATCGTAGTCGAATATTATTTATGCTAAGTATAAGTATACATATGATTCCTTCTAATACTTGTGAGACTCAGACCTTACCTAAACACTTCAATCGTAAATTTTTGGTATGAAAAAGAAATTATTTTCCATCTAGAATGGACGATTATAATTTGTATTGTAAATGATGATTGTATGGGTAATTGGTAATAGTACGCATAATAGATCAAAATTATAATTTTTAATTACAATCACCGCAATTTTCAATAAAAAATGTAATTTTCAACTACAGTACTCGTCGTAATAAGGAACCATCAATTTGTATTAAAATGGACAGGATCTTTGGATAAAAATTAATTTATGAAAGTCGAAAAACTTCTAATTTTAATCAGTTTATGAAAAAATATTAGACAGTAAATATTAAAGAGAGTAGCAGTCCAACATTCAGTGGCTATATGTGGATCAGTTTACCTCTCTTTAACATCGGGATAAAATAGTTTTGAATATCTAATCATGCATGTTTACCATATGAATTTTACCGTTTTTTAAAACAAACATAGAAATTTTTATTTATATTTTACTTTGACAGAAATACACCGTGTGAATAATTTTTGCAAAAACTTTAAATATTCATCTACTCTATCCACATTGATTTTATTACTAAAAATCATAGTTTTTTACTATGAAAAAAAGTTTTTACCAATAATGAATCCATATAAACGAATTTAAGTGATGTCAAATAATTTATTTTGCAATGACGTTAGGCTCATAATAGCAGCTTGAATTTGACAGCTTGTATTTAGAAACACAGTATACATCAAAGATTTTTTTTTTACTTGTTTAGTCAATAAAAGTATTGCTGACGATAATAATTTAGGAACTATGTAATATTCTTGCATATAAGCCTACGTAATTGTGCGTCATGTATGAGATCCCTTTTAAAATTTTTTTTTTTTCTTTTTTGTCGAATTTACCTTGGAGACCTATTATGCTTGTCTTCGAAAATACAAAACAGGTTTATCTATCATATACACTGAGTTTAACTACTCTATCTTACCATACGTAAATATTACATTTTTTTTTAAATGTTAACGTTTTTAATGACTCAGAAGCAATGAAATGTGAAAATACTGTGCAAAAAGGTTTCCTATCTCTATTGCAATATTCTTGTGAGTCATGTACGACACAGGCACTTGATAACAAACCTTTTGATTCACACAAATATCAAAACCAACAAGTTGACGACAGAGAGCACATGCGTCTTACAACTCGATCGCAATGATAGCAAAGTTCAAACTGAGGCACATTTCTACGCAGCGATGTCTTATTTATCAGATATGACTGTCACACGAAAAGTGTCTTTGAGATAATTGGGCTCCACCCTTTCCCCTTCCTAAGTACAAAATGATTCAAGCATATGCGAGGTAATTATGTGTGTATTGTATACATACATGAGGATTGTCGAAGGTAATACAACTCTTAATACTCGGGGATCACGGAGGTAGGGGCCAGGTCGTAGTGAAATAATATTCTAATCGTTTCTTCTCTTTAAAATGTAGCAACGAAAGAACAAGATATTTCTACTTTTTTTGAAAATAATTCTTAAGTACTATTTAATAATTTTGGATAAATACATTTTATTTTAACTAGTAAAATTGGTTGTTTTTAAATTTTATCTCGTATGAAGGAATGTATTGTGAAATTTGATAATGTGGATTTCAGCTACTTTTTGAATCCGAAGACATGCTCATTCACATGAAGTTTAAAAAAAAGTTGCAGTCAGCACCGAATTTTTTTTGTAAGTATCCATGATGTCATAAAATAAGCATGTATAAGATCACAAAATTAATTTAGTAAAGGCTTTTAACTTGTTTTTTGGGTATTTATCTACACACCTCCCAGTTTCATTTAATAATTCATATTCTTATTCTACAATAAAAAAATTTTTCAGAGATGCAATGATGCCATGCTCATTTCTCTCGTCTTTGTCTTAAATTTTGCCATAAAGGTTTTTTCAAATAATTTTGTTACAAAAATACATACACTTGGCTTTTACCTTCTATCCACACCGTTAATCTTATCATGTTTTACTATCGTATTTCTTATCGTATTTATTAAATTTTAACAGATACTTTTTGATGATGTTGTTTCAATACGTTATCTATAATTTTTATTTGCCACGTAGAATTTCAGTACTGGTTAATACAACAATTTACTACATGATTGTATTTCAAACACATGATTTACGAGTAATTTATATATTCACAAGTAACTACGATTATCATAAATGTAATGACAGGATTAGAGATAGAACACTATAAAATAAAATATTTTTAAGTTAATTTGATCCAGTTTAGTATCTGTTGGCCTCAATAAGCCTATGGATATTTCTCCACGGCTAAGTTACTATCTTAATTTACATTTGAGCTACTATTTGTGGGAAGTGACTAATTTAAAAATGACGAAATTAATGAGCTTTGACATCAAAGACGATTCTTTCAGCTACTTAGCTGTATTATTTATAATATCACTTGTTGATTAGTAAATAGACACCATGAAAGTTATATAAATAAATTTATAAGTTATAAATTTTCATATTGCTTTCAAAATGTTGATTACGGACATTAACACGATTTATTATGTTAACAAACAAGTGTCGACTGTTGTTTTATTAAAAAAAATTATTTTTCAATTTTACAACACGGTTACTGAACAATTCATTTTTAACACACACCAAGTGAGGTACTCATTAATAATCATACGTATAATGAAAAATTGTTTTTTCCCTTTTGGTTCATAAACAAAAAATGTATTCATTTGTTCCTTTCAAGTACTCGAACAAAATCCAATTAATAAAGTGAAGTAATAAAAATATAGTAAGAAATTTGAATGAATTCTTATTACATTTAATTTTAAATTTGTTTTGAACTGATTACATTTTTTTTTTCATAATAATTTTAATCCAATATTAAAGTACACAGTTTTTATGCTGACTTTAAAATTCTGACGATGTGATTCTCCCTTTCGTGTATTATTTTTTTTTTTTTAGCACTCGTGCTAAAAAGTTGAAACTAATTAAGCTTAGAGACACGTCATTGTAGGAGGCCCTATAGAAAAATTGTACTTAGCTATTTTTAATGTTTCAGAGCTATACAAAAGAAAAAAAATGTGTACTTGGAACGTTTGTATTACATTTTATTGTCATCTTACCCTGCTACGAGTAGATACACATGCATACAGGCAGTACACGAGTTGAATAACAGTACACATAAAATAGTTTTTAACAGTATCACTTCTGTTCTATAAAATGGTTGTTCACTAATAATACAAAACTACAATTCCGGACAAGACGTATCCAAGAAGTGCTGCTGTATACTAAGCATGTGGTGATTTTATTGACTCTGCCCTAGATGGTAGTTGCAACTCGGGCAATAATGCTTTGTTCGTGTTAAAGTACTGTCGCAGTAAACAACAGGTGCACAACACCAGAGCCTGAAAAGATATGAAAATTTTTTATCCAAATTTCACTCGGACTTTAACAAATAAATAAGTCATAAATTGGCATTAACTATATCGATACGTATATAAATACATAAGTATACTAGTACGCAAAAGTCAACGTGACCCCTTACCCCAGTAGGCAGCATAGTAGAAACGTAACGTGTGCTACCGCTGTGGGAGTAGATTTGATTCTTGTAACAATCCGTGTAAAGCAGCGTGGGCATTGCGTGCTTTGGGGTTCTGGACCAAAAACTTCATTTTGAAAGACGATGATTGGTCGTGGTGCTGTTTATGCAAAAAAATGATCGTAATTATTTATATTATACATATAATTCAATAAGTATACATATCCCATATATTTAGCTTATATTAAAGTATATGTTTCCTTAGATTCTCCCCCTTAGGTTGTTAATATCTTATGGAGGCTGCACCAAAAAAATGAAAGATATGGTCAAACAAAGCATTATTAACAATGTAATTCTTCAGTACAACGTCATTAAATATATTTAGAAACTAAAATTTTTGTCGAAAAATTATTATTATTCTTCGGGCACGGTACAAATGGTGTTAAAAAGAGGAAAAGGTGCGATTAAGCAGGATTATACAGTAACCGACACTACCGACAACGAAGTCATACTGTGGTTACGTACACTGAAAATTGTGATTTTATTTAAAGTAAGCCTAACATACAACTAGGCACGTGCACAAAAATACTTGTTATTGATAACATATTTGACTAAATTATCTCCCACAACGATAAATTCTAGTGATAAAGAACTTTTTAATTTTCCGAGTTTTCTCACTATGGGTGATTCGATAGATTCGTCTAGTCCCTCTAACCTCATGTACCTGGTAAATAGTTTGTTTGTCTTATACCTGGAATTCCAGAGTGAAATTCATACGGAGGTGGTGCCTGTGGTGGAATCCCGCTACAACTCATTTGCTGTGGCGAGACAGCACTATAAGGTGGTGGGGCTACGAATCTGGATGGGGCCGGAGAATTTGGGTGCATGCTGCTTATTTTCTAACCTGTAAAAAAAAACATTGAATACCCTAAGTATATTTTAGATCGATTAAAAGCTATAAAAACCACGCAATAAATGTATGGTTGCTAGTGTCTCTAACATCTTGGCAGTCAAATATTCGTAATTGCATAAATAAATGCATTGCGTGATGAATGTGTATTAACTAAAATGTAACTGTAACCGACATTCCAAACTGTTTTCGCATGTATATAAGATATGGAAAAAAATATTATTATACAATTTTGGTCTTTGGGCACTACATTTGCATTAGAAGTTTTAAGGAAATAAAATTTAAACATTATACACTTAATGATTAATGAATGTAACGGTATCTCAGTTTATAATATGTAAATATACAATACATCACAAAAACTCCCAATGCTTCAATGTAAATCCAATAGCATATTGGTAAGAAAGTTCTTTAAAATTATCCTAATATAATTGTCATTAAATAATGTTTAAATAAATATCAACTAAATAAAACGGCTAATAGTAGAAAACTATTCGTACACAACAAAAACAAAATAAGCTGTAAGTTCACCGTCAGACGTGCACTCGTACACAAAACTTGACGACTAATGTTTAAACTCAAATTTAGGCTGATTTTCACGCTGTAGAGTTTTGTTACTTATCATCTATAATTATCTACTAATGATAGTGAGTGATTATGAGCCTCTCTCATACGATCCACTGTGATGGACGAGAATGACGCATGCATGTCTAATACGTATACGTATCTACAATGTCCTATCAAAGTAGAAATACGTGTGAAAGTAACGTTTCTTTTTACATTTTTCAATATCGTTTTTCTTTTATTTTTAGCTGTACAAATTTTAGCTTATTCTTCATCTGTACACAATTTTAGTCATAGTGAAATATTGTTTTTTTTTTTTTTCGAGATCTACTGAAAAAAAATATAGATTACTATACATATCACATGTATATGACGTTCAAGAAAATACGTAAATGTGATTGAGTTGGAAAATGGAATTATCTTCATAAGGTTGACGTCAAAAACAATACTAACGTGATTTAGCTAAGTGATTACACATAACTTTTATTTCACTGTCGCTTACAATGCAAGACAAAGTATCTAACAATCTATAAATATATAATACTCGTAGAATAATCTTTGCAACTCAAATAATCTCATTCATAAAATGGTTAGCTTGGAGAAATAAAAATAAAAGTCATTCAGTAGCTTATCAAATATTTATATAAATAAGTGACCTCTTAAAACTTTCACACATTGAGTTATTCAGATTTATCTGAGTTTTAGCTAGTTCTTGAGTTCAAACTAAGATTTAAATGATAAAAAATCTAATAAGAAAAAAAAATTACCGATTATTTCAGAGTTTTAAGGTATTGGGCATTAAAATGACTTCTTGAAAAGAATGATGCATAAATTTATAATAGTACAATGTTATCTACAATTTTTCTCAAAACTCACTACTGTAAGACGTCAACATGTGAAGTTATCCATATTTTTTCTACGAACCTCTGTTTTAAGTCTCTTGTCACAAACAAATCGATCGTAAGTTTACTTACAGGAGATTTTGTAAAAGATATTCGTTAACTACTATTTTTGTTTTTATTTTGTACTTTAAGATAGTGTTAATGTATTTTTAAAGTAAAATGTTGTACAAACAGTTACAACATTGTGAACAGCAATTAGCAGCATTTTTTTTATCAATCAACATCTGTTTTGCAATCTGCTGTTAATTTGCTCTTAGTTGATTTTTGTATGGTTATTGTCATACCACAATAAATCTACAAATTTTTTTGAAAAAACCAAGTACAAGCAACTTCAAGATAAATATTGCCAAAACCTCCAATTATATCAGCCATAGTCTCAACCTTATACAGCGTGTCGGTTATACCTGGGCAAGAAGCTTATACACATGAGCTACAAGTGACTACAAATATCGCTTATTGACTAAGCTTAAATACAGTTGACATGTGCATTGAGTAAATCTATGGCATGTCATGTACGATAATAGATAAACTGACTGTAGATTATCGTCTAAAAGAAAGAAAATCCTTAACTCTTCATGTAATAAAATTTCAGCTTTAACGAATGTCATCACAAAGGAAAGAGAAAGTACAAACACCGTTTATCATCAGAACAAAACATTTTATTGCAACAGATCTGATAATATTTGGGTCCAATAAAAGTTTAATTTTATTAAAATCTAGGAAATTTCTATTTGATCTTTTGCTGTAAAAGCTGTAAAAGTACGATGCACCTCACGTCAAAAGTCATAATTTCTTTCGTTATCAAACATATTTCATTTTTAAAATTGTTTTATTCGTAAATTATACGTTTTTATTACACGCATTTCTTAAAAAATTTAAGTTTCTTTTAGTTATTCATACAATCAGTAATTACAAATAAGCTTGTATAAAACTATTTATTTTTTAAAATTATTAAAAATTTTCTCTAGACCTATAATGTTACATAACCTAACTATTTGTGGTATATAATTTTTTGTGTACAATTGCTTTTATGTAGTAATGTCAATCAATGATCAACTGACTGCTCTATCATCCGTATAAACAAAAATAAGTTTATAACTTGCAATTAAACAAAATTTGATTAAAATCAAATGCCCTTTATCCTTTTTTTCATCATTGGTCAAAACAGATACAATATATTTAATCAGTGTATTCGAATTTTTTTGTGATATGCTAGAATATTTAAGTTTCTAAAATTTGTCTTATTACGAATAAAATTTCCAATACCTAACTAATATTTAAGTAATCAACGTGATGATAACAAGAAAGATATAATCTTTGTATCATATTACATCAAGTGAGCATAACAATATTATACATCATAAGTGTAACGAAATCCAAATCGTAAAAAACTTCTTTTTTATTTTGATGTTATTAATACATTTATATCTTAAATTATAAATTATTATTGCTTTTAATAGGGAAAAGTATGGACGTACAAGTATGAGTCTTATTAACGGACCCTACTTTGACCCTAAAAGACCACACAAAATAATTTTTAAGTATTAGATGTATTTATTATAACCTTGTGGTTAAAGTTACAGTTGAGTTAGATATTTTTTAAATTGTCAATGGAAAGTGTTAACAAATCTTCGCTTGCTTTGCGTGTCGTGGTCTTCCTTTCCTCAATAAAAAATGTAGAAGCCTTTATTGACTCTGTCCGAGGTAATGATTGCATCTTGAGCAATAGTGCTTTTTCTCCGTACAAGAGTCTGTGCAATACGCGAAAGGCGCGCAGCAAAAGCACCTAAAAAATAAGAAAAATGTGGTATATTGTTTGATAGTGTGTACTCCCAAGCTACATAATATCTGCAAGAGCATTTTGAAATGAGTCGTGTTGAGTAATAGACAATCTTTACAAAACAGCAAGTAATATACATAAGATATAAAGTTACAATCTGTACAATGACAAATCGTTCCCATAAATACAAAATAGCTTGGAATTTCATGAGTATATTATACAACAAAAATTAAAAAAATTTGTTACATACCCAAAAAGGCAGCATAAAATGAACACAATATGTGTCATAGGAGTAATAGCTGTCTCGGTTCTAGTGAACATCTCGGTGTGGCAGTGCGGGCATCTCGCGTTTTGGGGTTCAGAACCGAAAACTGGATTTTGCACAACAATAACTTCAGGTTGCGATGGTTGGACATTGATAACTGTATAATCATTGATTGTATAGTCGTGAAAATTAATCACTTGATTTGACTAGCCAAATTAATGTCAAGCTAGCTTTTTTCGTACCTGGTTGTTGTTGCTGTTGTGCACCACTGTAAGTTTGATGTGGATAAGGTGCCGGTACCGGTCCTCCACTGTAAGTTTGATGAGGGTAAGGTGCCGGTACTGGTCCTCCACTATAAGTTTGATGAGGGTAAGGTGCCGGTAACGGTCCTCCACTATGAACCTGTAGTGTTGGATATGCTTGTTTTTGTATGTCACCGTGTGTTGCCTGTTGCGGTGATAATGCACCGTACGGTGGTGGCTGAATATCAAGTGGAGCCGAGGGTGGATGTGAGTCTGAATTCATATCTAATTCTAAAAAAAAATAAAGACAATAGTTATAAAAAATTTTGATTGGATTAAAAATTTTATATTGTGTTGTATAGTGATGAATTTTTTTTTACACTAAGTTATATCTTTAAAGGATATAAACTCATTAATCAACATCCTAATAACTGGGGTAACATTGTTGTAGGGTTACAGGGTTGAATTCTTAATAAATATATTAAAAAATTTTTCTGAGCTATTTTAACGGGGAAAGTTCCTGCGTTTAATTTTCCAGTAAAATATGTATAATAATTTCATATAGTACTCCAATACTAAAAGTTTGGGAATAAATAGAAAAAAATGTTCAAATAATTCAGTTTTATTTGAATTAATTTATACGTTCAAATTAAAACCAGGAAAGAGAGACACAGCAGTTTTCGAGGGCATTTTATTGTATGCACAATGAAATCCAATGCATGTAACTCAGTGAGTGAAATACTAATACATGTTTAGTACGTTTTACGGATAATAACCTTGCATGTTCTAATATTTTCAATTCGACAAAGTATCAAAAAATCTAAATATATTACGGGACTGTCGATACACTGAATTATATGTATTTATTGGTGTTCGTTTAATGAAATGGTGATGAAAAAGAAGTTGAAAACAAGTAGATACTAAGGTATTGATAGTAAAGTAAAAAAGCACATGTTTCATACAAGAAGAAAATCGATGTTCAAGCCCTAGTATCAACTTTTTTTTTTTTTTTTTCGAAAGGTATAGAGTCAATGTAGAGTAATATTGTCTTAAGGAGAACAATAATAATGGGTTTGATAACATTTCAAAAATAAAAACAGCTTAAAATAATCTACAACATTGTATACAAGTTATACAAAAAGAGTCAGCTTGAATACTGACACTAGCTTTCGAATACGTATGTATACCCAAAAATCTTTGTTGTCAAAACGAGAGCTATTAGAAAAACAAAAAGAAATGTTACAACCTTTTTATGCTGCAGAGCGAGAAGACGAGGCGAGGGGAATAACGATTTTGAACGAATTCCTCGATGAAAAACGAGCAAACGTGTTTTTGAACTTTCAAAAGCAATAGTAGCCCGTTTAGCTTGACTGCCACGAAGCAACAGAGCAAGCCCACGTATTTACAACTAAACGCAATCGTCACGAGGCTTCGCCACGGGCACGGGCGGGGAATCCTACTAGCGACATGCGTGTCATCGATACAAACAATAAAACTTTGAAGAAAACCCGCTCTGATTCTTCGGCTATGCCCAAAGTGACTTCATAAAGCTACTGTCTCCAATAGTACAACTATATGTAATTAGCTATATTAAACGAAACAATTTTTTCCTCTTATAGATTTAACACTTCAGACGTCATGTTTCCTGACAAATTCATACAATCACACAAAAGCGTTTAAATAGTTCGTACTTGAACGATTATTTCGTTTATGAAATGCTTTTTAACATTGCTATGACATATTTTTTTTTAAGTATAGTCATTTCAATAACTGCTCGCTTCAGTTTGCAGTAAAACATTTTTTGAAGAGTAATTGAACAAAACTAAGCGATTAAAAACGAACCTATATCGATAATAATAAAATTATGAAAAATAAAAAAAACTAGAATTTTGTGATGGAGAATACAGAGTATCCATACGTTGAAAGTTCCAACGATATAACTTGAACTGAGTCTTGTTTTCATGTAGTAACGTTATATAAACGAGAAAAGTTTTTCCATATAACTTTTTATTTTGCGAAAAAGAAGACTACTTGAGTGAGGAAAGGGACTCCATCGGCCGGCTAAATTTGTACCACGGTATTTCCTACAGCACAACGTGTCCTTTTACTTGCTCTAATATCTGACTCATCCGTTATATTTTCATTACTTTGACACGTTGAGTGTCCCGATACAAAAGCTGTGTGCACGTAGTGTTCGATGATAAATTAAACATATTATTACCTTTTAAAACAATGAGTTACGAAATATTAACATCCAACAAGCATTACCATGATAGAAAAAAAAATGTATAGAATTTTTTCTTTGGAAGGAAATGTTTTTTCCACTGTAATTAGGAAACAGCAAGAAATAAAAAGCTTTTAGCGGGATACAATAAAAAGTTTTAGTATATTTCAATGGACAATAGACAGCTGCAGTTTTTATACATTTAAAAAAAAACTTTGAGATGAGTGTAAAATTAGTGAGCGTAAGATAATGATCGTTGATAGTAATTAATTCAAGCCAAGAATCTAAGAACCAACCTTTCAAACAATGAAGAACTGAAAAAAAACGAAACCAATCACTGCTCCACAATAGATAATGTATAACTAAACGTGTCCAAAAGTTAGAGCGCACTAGTCGTACAATTTGAACTAATTTTTGTATATGATCTACAACCGACTACGAATATCGCTTAATGACTAAGCTTAAACCTTCCCCCTTCCCAAAGGCACCATGATGCACGTACTTTTAATAAATACATGACACTCTATTGAATGTACTGTAAATTATGTTTTGTAGAAAAGACAATGCTTATTTTTTCACTACATAAAATTTTGACTCAAGCAACCATCACCGTGGAGTTCATGCACGATTACAAGTTGTTAAGAGACACAGTAGAATGAGTGACACGAAACAACAATCAATTGACGAAAGGTCAGTTTGTGGATATTATTCATATGTCACCTTTTCTGGTTTGTTCCTCTGAGAGACAAAGTGCGACTTTCCCAATTTCTAAAAGAACAATAGAGTTATTTTCAAATGCTTATCACATAATTACCATTTCAGCTTCAAACGATAAGATTATGACGTAATTTACTAATATTTGAAAGTAACGAGAAAACCTTTCAGAATAACGTTCTGGCTATAAATTTTTTCATTGCACTCCTTATCACATTTTATAGATGGTTATGTATACAAATAATAATGTACATCACGTATCCTTTTTTAATTGACATTTTTATTTTAATTATGAAATTTTTACATTCAAAACTTCCATTCAAGCAAAATACATGTGGTGAAAAGATTCCGTGGATTCTCAAGTATTACCCTAAAGATCAATTTTGTAGCTTTATAGCATACTATAGGAGCCAGCTTTAATGTATATGCCATCCATTCTAATCCGTTCTGTAGATAAAACATCAACTCTAGTGGCAACGAGACTTCCATCGTGTCTATAGATGTTGTTTTGATGCAACGTCACAAGCTGGCTTCCAACGTTTTATAAAAATTAAACCTTGACCTATAAAGAGATTTTAACGAATAATCAGAGGTAACAATTACACCAAGTTGCTACTTGCGCTCTACGAAAGTTGGAGATGATCTCCAACACAAATTTTCTTCAGTGGACCGACTTAAATTTTACCGGGTAATTGATTTCAATCATAGGAGGGTTCTCTCTAGACATAAATATTATTACACTTCTGAAGAGAATTTTTTCTGTTATCATTAAAAAAAAAAAAAAACTTGAATCGTTTTCTTGAAGCGTACAAAATAAATTTTATTTAATGCTAAGATTAAAAAAAATTTTTAGATTTGACCATCACAATTCCCAATTAGTCGATACAGATTCAAAATGAAGCATTATGAATTATTATAGTGAGGCAGGCCAGCAAATAATATTACCCCAATTAACTATTAATGACACAATTATAATGGACACAATAGGTGTTAAATATTGTAAATTCCGATCACAAGATAAATCACTTGAGCTAGTCCCGAAATTCTATAATCTGAGTGCATGCAGAGTTATTTATACACATTATGTTAAAAATACTCAAACCACACTGGTTTTAGAACTAAAAGTCAATTCATATGCATAAATTTAAATACAAACAGAACTATTTGATTTATATCTGTGTACTTAGAATAAATGGTCGTTTTATATTATATTCTCTTTTTTCTCAATTTTTTTATCTTTTTAAGTATACATTTTCGCTGAACAAATGTATTTTATTTATTAAACAATCCACAACTTACAATAAAAAAAGTCATTATAGCCAAGTGCTCCGACTTTATTTATATAATTTTGTAGATATATTTATTATCATTGTAGGTAAAGTATTGAAAAGTGAAATTTTTTTTTTTAATTATTTTTGAATTCTGAACTTTACGAAACTCTTCTTTTTTTTGTAACAATTTGAAACTTTGTAATAACAAAGAAGCATTACGTAACAATAGTCAGAAAAGGATAACCGAAAAATCAATGATTGTATTACTTTGTGTATCTTCATTAGTCTTCTTAAATCATTTATTCTAACCCTAATTGTATACAAAAAATATCTCTAAATATTAAATATAACAAGCATTAGTATAAGTTTTGTGCTGCTATTTTACTGAAAAGTGTGAAAGTGCCGTTAGTGTCAACTAAGAAAGTTAACAAAAAATATTTTTTTTAAACGATACAAACATATCTCGTAGTAAAAAAACTATCTGTAGGATAAACGAGGCGTGGTCTCACCAATCTATTTTTAACTTAAAGTTCAAGGAGTAACTCACTAAATTCATTGAGAAAAAAAGCACATGTACACTTGAGGCAGCCTACTTACCGTCAATTCCCTAATTTGTGTTTCTTACGTCTTTTCTTTGGACTTTGAAAAATGTTTGTACTGGTTTTACGTAAGTTTATTCTGGTATAAAAATGTGTGTATACTAATCCTGTTCACAATTATGTTTTTAAAAATACTTTTAGAAAGTATTTACGAAATGAAGTTTAGCGCATTTTTATCTTACATTCTTTTTTATTAAATTGATGATAATTTTTTCTTGAGCCGCAATCACTTTTTATTGCTTTTTTATTATCCCTTGAACATTACAGAACCCAACGAATAATAAAGAGACTATTATTGGCTCTGTCCGAGGTAATGATTGCATCTTGAGCAAGTCAGTGCAATACGCGAAAGGCGCGCAGCAAAAGCACCTAAAAAAAAAAAATAATATCAACGTGGTTAATTTGTTTGATGATGTTAACAAGTAAAAAATTTATGTATTTTTGTTAACTATGTACTTCCAAGCTACGTGATATCTACTATACCCATAAATATATAAAATATCTTGGAAATTCATACATCAAGAATTAAAAAAATGTGTTACATACCCAAAAAGGCAGCATAAAATGAACATAGTATGTGTCATAGGAGTAATAGCTGTCTCGGTTCTAGTGAACATCTCGGTGTGGCAGTGCGGGCATCTCGCGTTTTGGGGTTCAGAACCGAAAACTGGATTTTGCACAACAATAACTTCAGGTTGCGATGGTTGGACATTGATAACTGTATAATCATTGATTGTATAGTCGTGAAAATTAATCACTTGATTTGACTAGCCAAATTAATGTCAAGCTAGCTTTTTTCGTACCTGGTTGTTGTTGTTGTGCACCACTATAAGATTGATAAAGGTAAGGTGCCGGTACCGGTCCCCCCCTATAATCTTGTAGTGGGGGAACAAATTGAGTTCCGCCAAGGTGAAATACTTGCTGCTGTGGTGGTGATACTGCACCGTAAGGCGGAGGCTGTGCAACATTAGCTGAAATTGGGGGTTCAGGAGCATGTGGATACTCTTTGTGCATTATTAAATCTGTAAATATAATAAAAAATTATTAGAAAGTGTTCACGCTGTATTTTATTTGCTTATTGGATATGAATTTTAGAGTATGTACACAAAATTTTCATATGTAACAAAAAAAATTTTTTAATTTCTTTATTATACTGAAATTCCATGTTACTTGAATAGATTTAAATTCAAGAGTAAGAATAAAATTTCATTTTCATTTTTAATGTATCGAAATATGATTTAATTGTATCAGTGGACTTTAAGACGAGTTAAATTTAAAAAGTAGTTAAACATTGCATTGTATATAGTTTAAAATGGTTAATCGTCAAGGTGGTGTCCTATAAATTATAATAGTGCATCTGTAAAAACTCTGCATTTTATCTATCATATTCCTCCATATTGGATAAGTTTGCAGGTGTTATCAAAACGTAAAACTGTTTATTTTAAAAAAAATTATATAGGTATTGACGAAAATTGCATCAGATGTCGAAACATTAAGTTGTTTCAAAGATCGTTTGTAGAGTTCAAATATTGTTTTAGAGGATAATTTTGGTATTTTTCTGATTTCAGTAAGAAAAATACCTAATGACTCGTATTAAATGGGATGTTTGCCCAAAACGCATATACTTGATGGAAATATGCCTAAAAGAGGTAACTATAGAAATATCAGATTCGCTTCACTAGGAAATTGTATTACAAACGGTTGGACAGGATTGCTGTTTGAATAATCAATTTTAAATAGCCTCTATTAAGCGTACTTCTGGTAAAACAGTAAAATAATCTTCATCATTAGTTTTATCATCTGAAGTAACTAAACTTCGAAAAAAGCCCATTAATACTGTATTAAAATTCTTGGGGTAGAACAAAGAATCGGTTTAAGTTGTGCCAACTGTTACTATATTTGGATTAACTGTATTTTTTTTCAAATAAAAAAAATGTCATACTTGGACATGGAACAAAACTCATCAAAAGTTGGCTCACTCTATAAATAGATGGATAAGGATTTTGTGTTGAGTTCATCTCAGACATCAAAAATTACAAAACATATTATGTTAACGTGTGTATTAACAAATTATTTTGATGCTGATCATTGTTACAGGAAAGCTAAATTCCGCATCAGTTATTTAATCATTAATTAAACAGGATTGTAAAATCATACTAATCTGAAATTAACGTTATACAGATCTACAGGTTATAGTATTAGATATTATAATAAAAACGAATTCTAATTGTATGAAATACTGATCTTTGGTGGCAATTATATTCAAACCAAGTAAAAACGTACCTTAAACCCACGATGGAGATTAATTAATCGTGTTGAAAAATTCGATCACTTCAAACGTAGCGGTATGCTTCGAACTGATACTATTTCTTAAGCAGCAGAGTCGTATAGATGAGCTACGACTCCTACCTCCCCCCTCTACTAGGTATAAAAACGATATTATATACTAGTTGAATAGCAACGCATACGTGAAATCTAACATCTTCTGTAATCTTGTCGATTTGTCTGCAAATCATGTTTGTAAATATAAAAAATATTTGTATATTCCAGTGGAAATAAAAAGAAGACTCTTTTATAAGCAGATTCACAAAATTTTCATAGCTGTCAAAAATATTGCAGCTCTGTCATTAGGAAAGCTAACTGGATTAATCGGTAGTTTTTGTCACAAAAGAACCATCGCCTCCAGAGCTATTTTATGACCCAGGGGCCTGCGAATTAGGCCCGAGGGAGCGTATGGTAGCCTCGGATGAATATGGTACTCGTGGGCCGAACACTGTTTTTCCTGCCGAGATCATGCCCGAATCATCAAAAACGTCCGAGGTAGGAAAACAACCACTGTAGCCTTAACACCACGTGAAGTCTTGATCATCCTTGTGGCAGCTTTGATCCTAAGATAGGAAAGTTGGACAAAAAAAAAAATACTTTTCAATGGTAAATAAGTTTATTTGTACGGAATTCACCATACTATATTGCATTGAAAACATTTCGACGTACGTTGCACTCGTGTTGAACACAATTAAATACTTCCAACCACTGGCACGTAAAATATTTTATATCACACTAAGCGTAAAGTTCGTACTGTTCTCCCTGTATACAGGGACAGAAACTGTGTAATAAGTGCGTGTACGCATGCGTATCTATATCTTACTGTATATTACTATATACATAAACCAATAAGTGCCTGAAGTAGTTCGGTGCTCGAACATAGCGAGGGCGCCACACTGCAGTAAACAAACAAATTTGGGAAATATCAACAAGATAAAAGAAGCCAATGTACTGTTTGCTGGTGTATTTTATACAAAAAAAAACATGAGATTCTGAACAAATGGAAATAATTAAAATTGTTATACAATTTTCTTTGTTCACACATTTTTAAATAATAACTGCATTTTTACAGTTCTTCATTTTTATCAATCTTGTATAATAAACTATTGAAATTATTACATTTCGAAACACATTCATTAAAAGAGTTAAATAATTAGGTCCTTGTTCTTATGCTTCCATTGTAAGAATCGAGCGTATGCATATTCATA